AGACATCCTCAAACCAATACATGTCAGTTTGACAATGTTGTCTGAAATATTTTTAGCTTTGAATTTTTTTTTCCAGCCAGTGTCAAAAGAAAGACTCTAAAATAGTTACTATGTGTCTATGTTCAATGATACATTTTTTTTTCTGAAAATACTCTTTAGTAAATTATGATTAGAATCATTCACAAAAAAACTTTATCCTGGTTCTAGATTACCAGAGCAGAATAAAAAGTAAAGTGAAAGGTCCTCCAGCTGAGAAACTCCACAGATAATGAGTTGGGTGAATATCTGATAAGAAAATGAATTGTTCTCTGCTGATCTTACATCTCCAAAATGTTCAGGTAGGAGAACACCTGCGATTATGTTGCTTAGTAAAACACCACAGGGGTATTCCTATTCGTTTACTTATTGTCTGCGGCTGCTGTCATGCTAACAACAACAGAGTTGAGTAGTTGGATAGAGACTATATGGCCTACAGAGCCTAAAATATTTACTGTCTGGCCCTTTACAGTAAAAGTCTGCCAACCCCTACACTAGTCCATCCCATTCGCTTTACAGATGAGCAGCGTGAGACCTCGAAGTAAAGCAAAGTGACTTTGTAGCACTTTGCACAGTGTTCCCTGTATCAGTTACTTTTGTCTATGTCTGTCCCTTCTACTGGAAGGGACATGATCTTTTTACTTCCCACACTGCTTTTCATTTAAGTGCTTAATAATATAGGTTTGTGGAGTTGCACTGACTTGCCCAGGATAACAGGGATAGTTAGCCATGGATACTGGGTTAAAACCCAGATAAATGGATTCATAAACTGGTGATAAGGACCACCAACCAGCTGCGTAACTTTGGCAGAGTTAATTATCCTCTCCGAGCCTCAGAGTCTCCTCATCTGCAAAATGGCAGTAACAATTTATTCTTGCAGGGTTTTTTGTTTTTTGTTTTTTTTCTTTTTTGGCCATGCTGCAGGGCTTGGGGGATCTCATTTCCCCGATGAGGGCTTGAACCTGGGCCACAGCAGTGAAAGTCCAGAATCCTAACCACTAGGCAACCAGGGAACTCCCCTCCTGCAGGGGTTTTATGAGAAATTGTCGAGATAATGTACGTATGTCATAGGCCCTCCACAAGTATGGATTCCCTCCCCTACTCCTTTTTCTCTATAAACTGGAGACCCTGACCTGTTACAGTTCCCTGAGGAAACCACCAAATACTTGTGGAGCTTCTGCTTTAGGGATGAGACGCTGGGCTCAGCCCTTTGGGAGATATAAAGATTATTTCCCCCATCTAGTGGCAATGATGAGCCTAACACTGTGGCCACACCTCACCCCAGGCTGCCAACAGAGGAAGGGGGAGGCCCGAGTGTCTTTCCTGTTCCTGTTTCCCTCCAAGAAGGAGCTGGCTCCCACTGCCCTCTAGTTGTCTTCCCCCTGCTTAAACTTCCTGAGCACTTGTGGCTTTGATTTCTCCCCAGCCCTCCTCCTTGACTCCCTACCACTTGGTCTGGCCTTTCCCCACTTCTCTCTTACTTCCTTACCTTTGGGTGTGTGGCTGACTGAATAAGCCCAGTTTCCCTGACCCCCTGCCTTTTCAAGGAGAAGCTCAAAGAAGGAATCCATTAGTCAGGGAAGAGGTGTGAACTGATAGGTCAGTGTGAGTGAGTAAGCAAGGCATGTTCATTTTCATAAAGTTTCATAGTTAAAGTAAGATAATTTGCAGAGGTGAGTACACATTCTTGCATAAATCACAAAAATGAATACCAACACAGTTTACTAGATCAAAGACTGGATTTTCAGAGAACTGCTTCAAGAATTCAAACAGAATGGCTTTGCCTCTGTCAGTCAGTGAAGTACAGGATAATTTACCTCCCTCTAACAAGATCACAGGTCTTGGGGCAGCCAAACACAGACAGAATGATATAAGCAAAGGTAGTTACCACTCCCTCTGGCTTTAAGAAACCTGGGGTGAAACTCCAAATCCAGATGTTTTTAAAAATCACTTCAAAATAGCTACACTTTTTAAATTATCTGGACTAATTTTTAGAAGGCAGTTGTTAGTGCTGCAAAGTCCTAACTATAGGTTTTCAATTTAAAATAAATATAAATTTAGTTTCAAGGACAGCCAGTATTTCAACCTGTTTTTTTTTTTTTTAAATAATGCTGTTAATAAAATTCATACTGGGGCTTCCCTGGTGGCGCAGTGGTTGAGAGTCTGCCTGCCAATGCAGGGGACACAGGTTCATGCCCCGGTCCGGGAAGATCCCACATGCCACGGAGCGGCTGGGCCTGTGAGCCATGGTTGCTGAGCCTGCGCGTCCAGAGCCTGTGCTCTGCCACGGGAGAGGCCACAGCAGTGAGGCCCGCGTACCGCAAAAAAAAAAAAAAAAAAAAAAATTCATACTGGATCTGTTTCAATAAATAGATAAGAACAGTTGTAATCAGCACTGCTCTCACTGGTTGGCAAAGAACTGCTACTAAAGGCCTTGAAGAACGTTTTAAGTAAGTTACAAATTCTCTTTTGAAATCATGATTATGCTTTACTTGCTTGGCAAGCTTTGCTTTGATGGTCTAGTTCTGACAAAATTGAAAATTGAGAATTTGCAGAGTTTAAATAAAAACAGAATTACTATGAAGGACTGGGAGGCAAGTCAAGAGGCATTTTGATGTGGACCATTTTTAAAGTCTTTATTGAATTTGTTACAATATTGCCTCTGTTTTACATTTTGGCCTTTTGGTCATGAGGCATGTGGGATCTTAGCTCCCCGACCAGGAATCAAACCTGCACCCCCTACATTGGAAGGTGAAATCTTAACCACTGGCCCACCAGGTAAGTCCCAATTTTGAAAACTGCTGGCCTAAGGTATACCAAGGCATTAGATACATTCTTTTTTTTTTTTTTTTTTGCATTCCCGGGGCCTTCTCCCTGTTGTCGCCTCTCCCATTGCGAAGCACAGGCTCCGGACGCACAGGCTCCGCGGCATGTGGGATCTTCCCAGACCAGGGCACGAACCCGTGTCCCGTGCATCGGCAGGTGGACTCTCAACCACTGTGCAACCAGGGAAGCCCGGCATTAGATACTTTCTCAGAGAACAGTACCAGACTTCATGGCCACCCTCAGCAAAGCCTGCCCTGAGAACTTCATGAGGAGGGAGGACCCTGTTTCCTCATATTAAATGAGGTAATGCTCTGAGCCTCCCTTTCTCTTTTAAGCCTCTGGCTTCTTAAGAGCAGTCATCTGGAGGGAAGAGTACTGAATGGGGAGTTAGGATACTAGGTTCCCATTCCAGTGTGGATACCTTCTGGCTGTCCAACCCTGGGCAGGATATTTCTCCTTTTGGGGCCATCTGCAAAAATGTACTAATTGGGGCTTCCCTGGTGGCGCAGTGCTTGAGAGTCCGCCTGCCGATGCAGGAGACGCGGGTTCGTGCCCCGTTTCGGGAAGATCCCAC